GGGCGCCCGCGCTTCACTTGCCCGCTTTCTGTGCCTTCTGCGCCGACTTGGTGACCTTGCCGGCCCCGCCGCTCTTCTTCTCCACGTTCTTGATGACGCCCACGGCCACCGTCTGCCGCATGTCGCGCACGGCGAAGCGGCCTGCGGGGAGAGTGGCGTTAGGCCCCGCCCCGCCGGGTGCCTTGCGCAAGCGCACTCGATGTGCGCAGCATCCTCCCAGCCCGGCGTCCGCCCCGCCGGGATACAGGGCGCAGGCGCACTCGGTGCGCGCAGCATCCTCCCCACCGCTAGACCGCGCTTATCAACGCCCGTCCCAATCCTCGCGGGCTCCTCTCTGCGCCTGCGTTTCCAGGCGGGGCGCCGAGAGCACCTAATGCCTGTGAAGCTCTCGGCTCCTTACTCCTCATCAGCACGCAGGAGTTGCCCCAAGGCTTCACTGGAGGATTAAATGACACATCATAGGGCCAGGAGTACATCCTGTTAGCTGTTGTGATGAGGCCGGCGTCAGCAGGGCAGCTCTGCACACGGGAGCTCCCAGTATGGGTCTGTGGGCCGGCCACTTTAGGTGGGCCAGCTGGGGTCCAGCGGGAAGTCCTAATTCTGCCACTGGACTAGTGGTGGGCCTTGAGCAAGTCACTTAAGGGGATGTGCAAAGGGTACCATCCCACTTGCAGTCAATGGGATGGAGCCTGTGGGGCTCTCAGAAAAGCATGCCATACTAACAGAGTCCCCCCATGGCCCTCCGCCCTCAGCCTGTGCAGCCCTCAACCCCAGGCTGCACCTGGCCAATCCTGGACCCCCAGCTCACCGAGAGGCGGGTACTGGGAGAAGCTCTCCACACACATAGGCTTTCCCGGGACCATCTCCACAATGGCCGCATCGCCGGACTTCAGGGACTTGGGGTTGTCCTCCAGCTTCTTGCCAGAGCGCCGGTCAATCTTTTCCTTCAGCTCCGCAAACTTGCAGGCGATGTGGGCCGTGTGGCAGTCAATGACCGGTGAGTAGCCAGCACTAATCTGCCCAGGGTGGTTCAGGATGATGACCTGAGGGCAGAGTCACATGCAGGGTCAGGTGCACCCAGACCCGGCCCACCCACAGTGGCACTGAAGGTGGGCACCAAGCCTGGCTGGGGGCTCCACTCACAGAGCCCACCACTGGTCCCAGGGAGGACCCACCTCCCCTAGACTGAGGACTCCTCATTGAATACCTGGCAAACCAAGAGAGCAGCAAGTTCACTGTCTGAAAGGGTGGGGGCACTGCATATACTGCCACCCCGGGCCAGGACAAAGGTAAGGGAATAGCAACATTGGACCTCAACCCTTGTGCTTCAGTTACAGCTCAATACAGCCACATGTTTTAAATTGTCCTATAAAGAGGCAATCAAAGACAGTGCAATGAAAAAATGGAGAAAATAAAACTATCACAGAAGTGTCTCAGGCAGGAATCAGTAAAAGCATTTTTCAGGAAAAAGATTGGCCCTCAAAAACTGGAGGTTCCACCCGTTGTGACCAGCAGACCCAGGGCTGCACACGCGGGTCGGAGTGCAAGGCCTGGGACTGGCACTGCTTCATGCTTCCTGCCGGGGACCTGGTACCCCGATTGAGCCCCTCATCTGTGAGATGGGGTCTGCCTTCTCCCAGGACCAGAAGTGGGCAAAAGTGCTCGGCCAGCCCTGTTCCTGCTGGGGGCAGGAGTACCCCGCCCGCCCTCTGCCCCACCAACCTGGGAGGTGAACTGGGCGGCCTCCTGTGGTGGGTCCGACTTGCTGTCCCCACACACGTTGCCCCGGCGGATGTCCTTGACGGACACGTTCTTCACGTTGAAGCCGACGTTGTCGCCGGGCAGGGCCTCGCTCAGTGCCTCGTGGTGCATCTCCACCGACTTCACCTCCGTGGTGATGTTTACGGGCGCGAAGGTCACCACCATGCCAGGGCGCAGGATGCCTGTCTCCACACGGCCCACAGGCACCGTGCCAATACCTGGACCAGAGGGGGCTGTGAGGGCCTGCAGGGGCCAGGCAAGGGGCAGGACATTCTAGGGGGATGGAAAAGCTCTGGCCTCGGCCTCCCTGGCAGGGCTGGAGGACGTGGCCATGTGGAGGGTGCGGGGACCACGGGCAATCCTGGGGAGGTTCAGACGAGAGAGGAGCCCCCCGACCCTGCAGCTGGTAAATAAAGGACTAAAAGAGAGGAACTCAGGGACAAGAGAGCAAGGACAAGAGGCTCTCTGGGCCAGGGACCCCACGCCTGCAGCCGGCAGCAGCTGTCCCCATGGAAAGAGCACTGTGGGGGCCCCTCCTCGCTGTGAGGACGCGCCTCCCGGCTACAGCAGCCGCAGCAGGGCGAGACGGGGGCCTACTCCACCTGCAAGCCCCTGGGACCGTCCTGCGTGGGGCTCGGGGTCCTAAGGTTGCCGTCAGGAAACAGTGTTTGTGCCACAGACCTCTCGGGGGTCTGAGGTCTCGCCTCCTCGGGCGCTGACAGAAACTGACCATGGTGTGTCCTCTGTGCTGGGGTGAGGGCGACACCCCAAGCTTCATAAGGCCCCATCGGTACTCTCCCTGCAGATCCCACACTGGCTTGAGGTTTCTGTTTCCTGCCATGAGCAGCTTTTCCCATTCCTCGACTGTCTGCCCACGGACTGGCAGCCTCCCGAGGAGGGGCATGTGTGAGTCACCCTGGAGCCCCCAGCTCTGAACAGAGGGCTGAACACTGACTTGGAGAGAAGGAGACCCTGGTGAAGGCTGGACAGACAGATGGATGGGGGGAAGGGTAAATGGGCCCCAGAAAGTATGCGGCGTGGGAGGGGAGGTGGAAATAGCACAAGTCTGCTGGACCAGGACCCGGATGTCAGGAGAGGGGGCCAGGGGCAGAGCCAGCTGGGGAGGGGCAACGGGGGCAGGACTGCGGGTGGATGGGGGAGAGGCAGGGCACCCGCACCCCTCACTCACCTCCAATCTTGTACACATCCTGCAGCGGCAGGCGCAGGGGCTTGTCGGTGGGGCGCGTGGGGGGCAGGATGGTGTCCAGGGCCTCCAGCAGGGACACACCACTGGCGTTGCCCTCCTTGCGCTCCACTTTCCAGCCCTTGAACCACGGCATCTGCAGGGGGAAGAAGCCCAGTGGTAGAGCCTGTAGTGGATGGAATTGTGTCCCCAAAAATATGTGTTATAAATCCTAACCTCTATGCCTGTGGTTATGATCTCACTTGGGAATGGATTCTTTGTGATGTTTATTAATATACAGTGTATCTTAAATCAATCTCTTTTGAGATATAAAAGAGATTAAACAAGCAAGCGAACGTAGCAGAGATGGGGAAGAGAGATGCCAGGCCACATGGAGGTCGCCCAGGAACAGCAGCTCAAAAGAGACAAGGACCTTCCTCCACAGCCGACAGAGAGAGAAAGCCTTCCCCTAGAGCCGGCGCCCTGAATTTGGACTTCTAGCCTCCTAAACTGTGAGAAAATGAATTTCTGTTTGTTAAAGTCAGCCACTTGTGGAATTTCTGTTATAGCAGCACTAGGTAACTGAAACAAGCCCTCAGACACCCACCCACCCCTCCAGAGGCCTATCAGGGTGCCGACCCCCGGTGAGGGCCCCCAGTGCTCGGGCCTCTGGCATCTCCAGGAATCGGAGGTGTCTGACCTGGGGGAGGGGCCTGAATGGGAAGGGGCCGCAGCCCCCTCCGCCGACTACTTGCCTGACTGACGACTGACTTACACAGGTCTTCCCTGTCGCCTATTCTCTGGTCCTAACTCCCCAGCCCCGCCCCCCGACCTCACAATCACAACAGCACCCAGACCCCCAACATTGTCATATGAAAGGGGGGCTCACCTTGGGCCAGACCCAGCCCGGACTGGGGCTCCACGGGGGAGGGCAGCCCTGACAGATCGCCCTGCCCCAGCCCTTGGCCCTGCAGCTTCCAGCCTCTCCCCTGGGCAGGCAAGCCACAGGAGCAGGAAGGACCCAAGGGTGGTCAGGACTGGGCCAGGGCAGATAAAGCCCAGCCTGTGAAGCCATGTCTGCAAGCTCAGCTGACCCCTCACTGCCCAGGGCTCCCCGTGAGCAGACCCAGGCACATTCCCGTGCCAAAACCCACCGGCCCAGCTGCCCCAGACCAGAAGGGGCGACGGGCAGCACTGCACCGAGGGCAACTCCCTGGGATGGGGGTCCTTCTGCCCTACTCTTCACAGCCTAATCCTAGACACCCGGGACACCCCAGGTCAAGCAGGGGCTCCTGTGAGCATCGGTGGGGGGGGCACCATCCAGTAGGTGGGGAGGGCCCCTGTGGGGCCTAGGAGTCTCGGGGGAGGGCGGCAGAGGGTGGAGCCGGTGTCTGTCAGATCCCAGGAGGGAAACCGAGCCACAAGTAAACAACACTCATCCATCAGAGCTGCCCTCGCCGCCGCCCCCCCCCGCCTCAGCTCTGCCCTGAGACGGCAGGACTTGGGGTCTCAGGGGCCTGGCTTAGTCCCCCGGCTCTCTCCAGGGACCCATGCCACAGCTTCCCACACACACCGCATCCCTCAGCCAGGACACTTCAGTGCTGACCAGGCGAGGGGTGGCCTTGCCTAACAGGGCCCTCAGCATGAGGGTTCAGGCTCCAGAAAGTGCAGAACAGACCGGAGCTGCCCCATCATCTCTGTCAGGTCAGAATCTCGGACACGGGTGGCCGGAGCCATGAGCCCACCGATTCACCAGCCGGGAGCCAGAGCCTGAAGCTGAGGAGGCCTCGGACCCCTGGCCAGCCCAGGACCCCAGGAACGGGGGCACATCCTGGAGGTGGGCCCACTCCCCTAGGGAGGCAGACCCCCATGGCCCCCGCCTGCTGCCCTGCCTGAGGTGTCCCGGGCTGTGACAGTGGACAGGGGGATAGGGAAAGTGACCCCATGGTGGGCAACTCCTGGAGACGAAGCTGCCCCTGCAGGCATCAGGCTAGGGGAGCAGCCCTGACTAGAGAAGGGGTCTTGAAGGCCCTGCCTGCCCCATGGGGGCTGCTCTGAAGCAGCGAAGCCCCCAGTCCCGAGGAGGCTCTGAGCCCCGTGGGGGCTGATTTCTACCCTTGTACAGGGAAGGGAAAGCCTGGCTGGATCGGGGGAGTCTGCGGATAGCAGGGACCCTGACCCCCGCTCAGCTGGGCTGTCCCCACCCACCCCCACCCTGCCGGGCACTCACGTTGGGGGAGGGCTCCAGCATGTTGTCACCGTGCCAGCCAGAGATGGGCACAAAGGGGACGGTGCCTGGGTTGTAGCCGATCTTCTTGATGTAGGCGCTGACCTCCTTGACAATCTCGTCATAGCGCTTCTCGCTGTAGGGCGGCTCCGTGGAGTCCATCTTGTTGATGCCCACGATGAGCTGCTTCACGCCCAGGGTGTAAGCCAGCAGGGCGTGCTCCCGCGTCTGCCCGTTCTTGGAGATGCCAGCCTCAAACTCTCCCACGCCCGCAGCCACGATCAGCACTGCGCAGTCAGCCTGCCACAAGTTGGGCAGGTAAGCCCACGGGCGGGTGAGCCACCACCCAGGGGAGGGGCCGGGGAGCTCCAACCTCAGGGCGGCAGCAGTGGCTCGGCCCCCAGCAGACCCAGCTCCACCCCGGCTCCACGCCCAGTGGGCTGTGTGGCATTGGAAAGGTCACTCAGCCTCTCCAGCTCGGTCCCCTCACCTGCCAGCTGCAAGTGTCCCGGAGAAATCGTGAGGAGAAAACATGGTTTTAGTTGTATAAGCACTTTGGAGAGCCTGACACCCCAAGGAAATGCAGGAGATTGTTGCCGGTTCTCATACTGCCTCCTGCATGGGCTGTGTGTGGGTGCCTGTGTCCGTCTGTCTGTGAGTGCCTGTGTCTGTCTGTGTGGGCGCCTGTGTCCGTCTGTCTGTGTGGGTGCCTGTGTCCGTCTGTCTGTGAGAGTGCCTGTGTCTGTCTGTGTGGGAGCCTGTGTCCGTCTGTCTGTGTGGGAGCCCGTGTCCGTCTGTCTGTGAGAGTGCCTGTGTCTGTGTGGGAGCCTGTGTCCGTCTGTCTATGTGGGTGCCTGTGTCCGTCTGTCTGCGAGGATGCCTGTGTCCGTCTGTCTCGTGGGTGCCCCCATCTCTATGTCCGTCTGTCCGTGAAGGGGCCATGTCAGTGTGTCCAGCGCAGCCACATCAGTCCACTCTGTACTGTGTCCCTGACAGCAGCTGGTGTCCAGCTGTTTGTCCTTCTGTCGATGCCTGGCTGAGGCACTGCGGCACTTCATCACTTCTTTGGGCTTGTTGCCAGGTGGGCTGGGGCAGCTGACCACCCAGCGCAGGGGAGACCTAGCTGTTCCCAGAGGACTCCAGGTCCCCCCACCGGGTGGCTGTGGCGGCTCGGCCCTTGCTGCCCCACACATCCCCCCACCCACCTGGGATGTGCCAGTGATCATGTTCTTGATGAAGTCGCGGTGGCCCGGGGCGTCGATGATGGTGATGTAGTACTTGGTGGTCTCGAACTTCCACAGGGAGATGTCGATGGTGATGCCGCGCTCACGCTCTGCCTTCAGCTTGTCTAGCACCCAGGCGTACTTGAAGGAACCCTTCCCCATCTGGAGAGAGCAGGGCAGGGGCACTCAGAGGCCCCACCGGGCAGCCCAGGCCTGCGGCCACTTCCCACCCACTGCAGCTGCCCCCCCACCTGGCTGCGGGAGCCACCCTGGGGCCCTGGAAGCAGCTCATACAGCAGAGACTCCCCCCCATGAAAACAGGCTCCAATCTCACTCTGCCCCCTGCTTGGACCCCATGACTGCAGCCCCCCGGAACAAGAGAGCTAACTTAGGGACCCCCGAGGGACATCCCCACCTAGTGTTCCCAGACCTGACCAGGCCCAGATCCACCATCCCTGCCCCCGCTGTGTCCAACAGGCCGCACCATTTCCTACGTCCACCAGTAGGTGGCGTGAGGGCCCGGAACCTGCCTTGAGAGGAGACACCAGCTGGGATTAACCCCCTCCCCTGGCTGCCGGGACCCCCACCCACAAGACCCACAATGCCTCAGGATGTCTCAGGCTGTTGGATAACCTCTCTGCGTTATTGAAAAAGAAAACTGGGAGGAGGTCGCACCAAAGGGGCCGGCTTTCCAGCTCTTTCTACAGCCAGCGAGGGCCCCCAAATAGCTTTGAGGCTCCCACCCCTGCCCTGCTTGCTCAGGAGACTCCGAGAGTCTCCCCAGATACCAGGCCAGGCCTACCCTCTGCAAAGATCTGGGCCTGGGGGCTGCTGAGACAGACTCCCCATCGCCTTCACCAAGCTCCCTGCTAGGCCTCCTGTGGACAGACCTCTACCCCCAGGGAAGCCACCCAGCCTGGAGGGGCGGGCCAGACGATCCCAGGGCCAGTGGGCCGGATTAGACGCCCTCCAAACACCCTCTGCTGCTCTCCCTGCAGCCACAGGAAGGAGTGACGCAGCTGTTTGGGCCCCCCACAGAGGCATGTAGCTCAGAGCACCCCACCTGGGCAGGGGCCCAACCCAGACCAGCGACACCTCGTCCAGCCCCTCTATCACCCGGTGAGAGCCTTCGGTGGTTCTCCCAGACATGGGCTTCACCCAGGCTCAGGGCTGGGGGCGGCCACCAAGAGCGGAGAAACCCCCACTACACAGCCACTTCCCAGCCAAGGGTCTCAGCCACGCTGAGAGGCAGACCACCAGCTAACGGCCCCTCATCCTCTCCAGGGCAACCAGGACCCCACTGAAGGCGCCCGCCACCAGTCCTGCCCGGGAAAATGGAGTTGGTGGCCGGCTGCCCATCAATCAGCTATTAATAGCGGCCAGAGAGCCCTTGGCCCTGGTGGCAGGGACAAGTGAGGGCAGCCCCACCTCCAGCCCCGCTTGTCCGTGGGGGTGCAGAAGCCCAAGCCCTGGGAGCACAGGATGCGGCTCAAGGTCCCCCTGGTCCCACGAGCAGAGCGCTCTGAGCCCTGCTGCCCACACACGGAGGGCAGAACGCTGTGACCAGGCCATGTCCTCCATTGTGGGGCGAACCAGGTGCATGCTCAGAGCCTCCCCGCCCCCCAGCCTCTGGGAAGAGAATCCCTCAAGCCTCATGTCCTCTGGGCCTGGAGGAGGTAGCCTGAGCCAGGCACAAGGCTCAGGAGCAAAGGTGGGAGAGACAGACCCCCGTCGGCTCACCTCGGCTGCCTCCTTCTCAAACTTCTCAATGGTCCTCTTGTCAATGCCCCCGCATTTGTAGATGAGGTGGCCAGTTGTGGTGGACTTGCCCGAGTCCACGTGGCCGATGACCACGATGTTGATGTGGGTCTTCTCCTTGCCCATTCTGCCCGGGGTGTGGGGGGCTGGCACCACCTGGGGCCTGACTCGGGGTGAGGGGTGACTGCGGAGTGGTGCTTCTATGGGGCTGGAGAGGGGAGACGGGGGCCTCAGGTGAGAGCCCAGAAAAGATACTGCCCTGGCGCATGTGGGGGCACAGTACCTGCCCACACCCCTTGCCCCAAGTAGACCATGCCTGGCGGGCCAGATGGGCCGTGTACCCCCCACTCATCACTTTGACCCAATGGCTGTAAGTGTCTGGGCGTCGGTGCCCACAGACACCAGCCCCGTGACAAAGGATGTTAACCCCCATCCGGAGAGATGAGGAAAGGCCAGGCTGCGTGAGCCCTATGCCCGACCCAGCGTCACCAGGGAGCCTGGTAGATGAGTCACCAACGGCTCTCTGAGGCTCTGTCCCCACTGTCTCTCCCCCATCCCTCCGTGAAGATGGTGATCGGCACTCCCCACTCCCCACTCCCCTCCGCAAGCAGGGATGGCGCCATCTTCTCTCCATCCTGCTTGGCGGCGAGGCACCGGGGAGGAGGGGGCAACGCAGGCTGGGCAGGGGCTCCGACAGGAGCCCTGCCTGCCAGGATTAGGGGCCCAGAACAGCCCTGCCCTCCTCTGGATCTGGGCTGGGGTCAGGCAGCAGGGTGCGGTGGGGACCCCATTCTGGCCAGAGGAGGGTCTGGCTCCAGCAGCCAAACACATCAGGTGCCGGATGCAGATGCCTCCAGCCGGTGGGAAGCGAGAGCTGGGGGCCAGGCCTGTCCCCCACCCTGGTCAGGGGCCTGGGTCACAGCTCTGCCCCTTCCTGGCTGCGCTGCTATCTGAGGTCAGCGGAGAAGCAGCCTCCCAGGAGAGGACAGGCGGCTGGGGGAGGGGAAGAGGCATGCATGGCCAGCACCCTGCGGCATGGATAGCTAGGTGGATACGGCCAGGGTCGGCAGGGGTGGGGGCAGGGTAGCCAGGTCCCCAGCTCACCGCCTTCCCCTCCCCAGCTTCCTCTCCTGGACACCCCCAGCACCCACCCCTGCTATCCCCCAGCACCGACGACCCTGGCCCCAAGCACGCAGGGCCCGGTCGCTCCCAAGGTCACGGCTGCAGGGCGGTGGCCTCAGCCCAGGAGACCAGCCCCCGTCATAGCCCTCCGCTGAGTAAACAAACGCTCGTGGTCCCCCCAGCCCGGCCGCTCGAAGGGGGTCCGAGCGCCATGCAGGGTTGGGGTGCTCGGGGTGGGCGGCCAGTGTCCGCAGGTCCAGCAGCGCAGCCCAGCGAGACGCCCCGGCCCGGCCCCTCTCTGCCCCCAGGACCCATCCCCGGGGAGGCGATCATCTGCGGGAAGCCGGGGCGCGGGTGGGGGCCCCCCAAGGCCGAGCGTCCTTACCCGGAGCCGCGGTCTCAGCCAGAGGGACTGGCGACGCCGGCGCCGGGGGTTTTATCTCTCCCGGACGGGGTCCACCTATCGACGGTGCGGCGCAGTGCACCGCGCCCCTGCAGTACGGCACTGCGGTACGCGGGGCGGGGCGCAGGCGCGGGGTGCAGGCGCGGGCGGCTGGCCCACGGGCGGGCGCGGGAGGGAGGATGGGCGGGAGCTGGCCACAAAGGCGCGGAGAGGCAGACGCACGGAGGGAGCGCTGCGGAGAAGAGAAGGGTCGGAGGCGGGCGGAGAGCTGCGGTGGGAGGGGGAGAGAAACAGCGAGAGGGGCAGAGAGAAACGCTGCCCGGAAGAGCCGAGCCCGATCAAAGACAACACAGAAAAGACCTACACAAAGAATAAAAACAGATCCCCAGGGCTGGGGGTAAAACCTACAGGAACAGGAGTTGGCCTATGGGAAGGTGAAGTGGGACACGATCCACCAGGGCCTGAAGGACGCTGGGAGCCAAGGGTCTGGGCCACTGTCCTGGTCCCACGTATCCCCAGCCAGCCCTGGCCCTGCCCAGGGTCAATGCCCATGAGCAAATGAAGCCCCCTTCAGGCATTCTCTGGCAGGACTCTGCCCTGCGTGCCTGGCCCACCTGGCCCCCATGGTGTGGCCCAAGAACGGGGCCTCTGGATACTTGTGTGGGCCAAGGGGGCTGAGTCTGGGACAGCAGATCTGTCCTTCTGAGGCCCCTGGAAACAGCCATTGTCCCGAGTCCCTCGGTTCAGGGATGCTCAGGTGCACAGCCATCGTTCCACACCCATCCCAAGAACGCTCTGGCATCTGCAAAGGACTTGTGCACCGGGGATGGGCTGGTTCCTGGGAAACAGCATCAGCCAATTTGATAAATCAGGTTCCAAACTGGGTCCAGGGCTGTGACCCCAGCCTCCACTACTGGCCTCAGCCTCTTGGTCCTCGAGGCTCAGCTCTACCCTGACTCAGTGAATATAGCCCCCCCCCCCAGCCTGTGTGCCCCCAGCTGCTGAAGCCAGAGGCAGGAGGCACCTGGGCAAGTCCCGGGGAGCGTCCTGCCCCAGCACAAGCTCCCATCTGGCCCCTAACACTGGCTTGCTGGCCTGGAGGCGGGAGCTTGGGAGGCTGTAAGAGTGCCCCAGCACAGCAGGTCACCCCTAATCACAGGGGTGACCGAGTTCCACTGAAATCACAGCTGTTGGGGTGCAAAGTTTCAAGTGATGGACTCCCTGCCTGGCCTAGCCACTCAAAGGGGAGTCCACTCCCTCAAAAGAACCCGAAGGGTCTGAGACTGACACCAGAGCCCAGAGCTGGGTGTGATCGTGGGAGGAGTAGGGAGAGGGGGCGCCCCGCCCCACTGAAGGCCACAGTCTGCTTCCCACAGGCTTCCGTGACGACCAGACGGAGCCCATGTAGCAGCCTCGGCTGGTGGAGGTGAGGACATGGGGGCCGAGGACACCTACTAGTGGGAACAAGGGGTTCATGAAGGGAGGGGACGTGGAGGGCAGAGGGCAGAGTGCACAATCGGGAGTCAGAACTCCACCTCTCACTGCCAGCCATAGACCCTCCCGCCAGTGTCCTCTCCGGCCGTGGGCCCAGCGCCCTCTCCATGGACCCAGCGCCCTTTGCTGTCCTCCGGGTCTTACTTGGTTAAGCCGGGACAGTGATGCACCTACTCCTGCAGGTCCTGGTGTCCAGCACCTGGTGAGGTTCAATGTGGTCGGTCCTCCACCCCTCCCGCATACCCAACCCTGGGCCTGTGACCCCACTCCCCGGAGGATCATGTAAGGAGGGTCACATCCTCATCTGTGAGTGGGAGCTCCAGGAGGCCTGCCCTGCCCAGCCTGCAGCAGGCCGGCCCTTGGTTGGGAGACAGTCCATAGTTGAGGGCTCCCCTCTTGTCTCCCAGCTTGGTCAGCTCTAGGCATCCCTGCCATGACCTAGATACTACCCATGACGTCTGGTACTTGGGAAGGACCGTGGCCAACATGTAGACTTTGCTGACCAAGACTGATCCCATGGGGTGTGGGACCATCACTCCTGCCCCCTGGAGTCCACCTGCCCAAATGCCCTGAGCATGACCCTCAGCCCACGATGGGGGCTGGATGCCAGGGTCCCGGCAGCAAAGGCTATTTCTCTGGCCGTTGTCCTGCACAGCCAGGTGGATGCTACCCCTCAGCACACCACCCCTGCCCCATGCTCTCTTTGACTCTGCTCCAGCCTGCCTTGGAACTCTTGGCCCATCCCAGGGCCAGAAGGACCACTAGCAATACCCTAAATGCACCCAGGGAAGGAACCATGACAAAGGGCTTGCCCCTTGGCGACCTGTGTGTGTTCGTGTGGGAATGGGCCTGCCTGGCGTCATCCATCCCTGGCCTATGCTCATCCAGGAGCTGCTAGCAGGGGTGGCCCAGTTCTGCTCCCGTGCGGCCTTGACAGACCCAGCATCTCTGCTGTACGGCTGCAATGAGTGCACCCGTCCACCCTTCACCCCACTAGCACCCATTTGCCCAGGACAGGAAGAGGGAGGAGGGAGGAGGTGGGTGGCATCTGCTTGGTGCCCAGAGGTGTCCGAGGAGGGCAGGTGCTCAGTCGGAGCCTAGTGGCCACGGTGGGTTCCTGGCAAAGGTCTGGCGAGGGCAAGTGCAACAGGTAAGAAGTACGGTGATCACTTGGGCTTAGCAGGGTCTTTATCGGGAAGGTGAGGCACCAGCCCACCACCCCTCCCACACAGAGCCCCGCGGCGGGCCCCCCAACACCGTTGGGGACAGTCCTGTGGACATAGCAGAGTGTGGGCTGCTCAGCCCAGTGCTCAACCCTTAGCCCCTCCTGTGCCAGCTTCTCTTCAGCCCTCCAAGGACGGCTCAGAGACCCCTCAGCACAAAGAAGGGACAGCTGTGGTAAGAGCTTCTAAAAACTGGGGTGGAGGTGCTAGGCTCAAGTGGGAATTCCTGTCATGGGGAGGAGCGGGAGAGGCCAGGCTGTCTCCCAGGGACCCTGAGTGCCAAGACACAGACAGGGCCGTCTGGCCCCAGGGGCAGACAGGCAGTGGCATCACTAGGGTTAGCGTCCCCAGTGCGGCAACTCGTTGTCACCCCCCATGGACCTCCTGCTGTACCAGACCATACAGAGCTCTTGGTAATGTTTTCTGTGCTAATGTTACTCGTAAATCGTAATTCCCGTATATCACTGACTGTCGTGGTAACAGCAGTGACGTAAACAACTCGGAAAACTAAAATTACACCTTAAATTACGAGATCATGCGCGCTGCCTAAATGTAGTTACGTAGTTTGCATGTGGTTAAAGTGAAAATTCAGTAAGAAAACGATAGAATTTGAGGTAAAAATGTTTAAGAACTACATCAAAATTATGTTCATTTAACGTTAACCTTTACCGTTATATGAGATGCTTGAATGGATTAGGTTTGCATAATTGATAATGGCCCAAATAGTGTAGAAGTTGTAGACAAATGCATATGGAAATATGTTCATAAATGAAATAATACCATAGAAATAATCAGGAACAAATACACAAGCATTTCAGCACTCCGTGAACATCTCGACTAGATCAGAGCTTTCGTTTTCTGGCCTTCAAAGCTGCGAATTTGTGAATGACTTCCCTCAAATCAATGCCTTCCGTTAACTCACTTTTTAATGTGTCATTATTTTTTTAAACCCTGAAAATTTCTTTAAAGTCAGATATGTATTTGTAAGACAGCGATGTTTTTAAAGAAAGTTTTAAAAAGACTAAAATTTTTAAAAAACTGAATTTAAGATGTAAATTATATTTCTAAACCTCTATCAAGAAGCATAGCATTTCCCCAACTTCATGTTTTAAACTATCAATTTCTCTAGTTATCAAAGAGTTATATAATCAGTAATTGTTACACATGTAAGTTTGTTATCGATTTTAATCATAGAATAGTATGTGATAAATATAGTTGTAAATTGCTAAGATATAACATTTCTTAGATAATATGCTTACAAACAATAAAATTGTTTTATAAAATCTCTCTACTTTGAATTACAACGATATTAATTACAACATTCTTAGTAACTGAGCAGAAGCCTTTTTTTATTCTTCTTCTTCTTTTCCTTTGATTACTACCGCATTCTCAAAAAAGGTATGGACGTCGGTTCACCAATACTAATTACCACAGTATTGTAGCTAAAACTCCAGAAAACTGGACAAAATCAGCGACTATGAAAACAACAGCCTGGGCTCCTACCGCGTGCAGACGAAACCGCGTGATTCAAAGCGTCATTGTGGTTGAGCCACAATGACAGCTCTCACCAGAGCACATTAGAAGGTTCAAACAGTGAATTAGCATAGAGTTTTAGCCTTGTAGGTATATTGATACATGGAAGCTGGGCTTACAAGACAATGTTTTTGTTGTTATAACTAACTGCAGAACTATTTTTATTAGAAAATAATAAATTTCTGCTGAAACACCGCACAAACATTTTATGGACAGTCGTTTTGGTGTCAGCCCCTCTGACAGTGTGCCCGGTGAGGTGCACACCCTCCACACCCCTAGTGACGCCACTGCAGACAAGGTCATCGTGAAGACGGGTTCAGGGGTCTGGGGCGGCCGCTGTGTGCGAGTGAGGACAAGGTCAGGGTCTGATCTCACCAAATGCGTCCCTGCTCCTGGGGGCTGCCTCCCCCACACATTGTATTCCTCCTGTGACTGCAGAGTCCAGCAGAAGGCCAGGCAGATGACGGGGTCCCCAGAGGTGAGCACGGAGGGGGTGGGAGCAGGGGCTTCCCTCTCTCAGAGCATTGTCTAGACCGGAAGGCCCAGCACCTGCCCTGTCCGCAGAGGAGCTGGGAGCCCTGCAGGTACGTGTGAGGAGGGCAAGGGACCAGGGCAGCGACCGGGGCCAGCCAGGCCTCCCTGGAGGTGGGGAAGGGCTCTCGGGGAGGGTCTCTTGGGGAAGGGCTCCAGACCCCATTGCTGTCCCCAGGTCTGCCTGCAGGAGCCCTGGGGGCTGGGCCAGGGCGGGGGTGGGGAGG